ATCAGCTTTGCTCTGCCTACGTATCTCCAGAACCATGGTGGATCTGGTCTTGGATCTCCCTTGGAGATCTCCAGCAGAGAGCATGAGTGGTTGTTGCTGTTGCTGGTGACAGGTGAAGTCGTCCCTGCCTGCCGCGGTCCCTGCCACTCTGTTCACAACCGCCCCATGCAGGTACCTCGGTACATGCACGTGGTTCACCCTACAGCTCAGAAACCTCTTGGGGTGGCCAAGAGCCATCGGCACCAGCGCGAAAGTGGGTCGGAGATGTCAGCCACCCCCCGGGACCTCTCCACTGCCCCTGAAAACATCACGTCCTGCTTCACGGGACAAGAGGACCAGAAGGGTGAACAGAAAAATGGGACCAATCTGGTACTGTTTGGTGGCAAACCAGAGGTGGGGGGGGATGAGATTCTCACTTGGGCTAAATGCCCTTTGCACCCTTCGGCTGTGCCAAGAGTCGTGCCGGAGCCGTGAGTCACTGCTTGCGCTGGGTGGGGTTACGTGGGCAGGAGAAACCGGGAGAACCTGCCCACTGCCTGCCAGGCTGCTCCTGCTCCGCTCGGCTCCCCTCCCTCGTCCGCGGCGCTCCGGAGGCTCCTTTCCAATCCAAACCTTGCCCTTGACTCGGAAAAGCCGGGATCAACGCCTCATCCCCCAGCCCAGGATGGGTTTCGCAGCGATGCCCAGCGTGCAGGAGGGATGCTCCCAGCGGGGCAGACCCCCAGCCCCGTGTTGGACCCCGCGGTAGCACTGAGGGAGCTGAATCCTCCGCCAAAGGGGCTCCGGTGCAAATCCCTCGGCACTGCGAAACCCAGCAGGTTGGTGGGATGTTTTGCAGACCCCAAAGCCGCCGTGCTCCCCCCGCAACCCCGGGATGGGAGGACAACCCCAGGTTTGTCACTGCACCCAGTGATCCCCGCTGTGCTCCAGCTCCCAAAACACGTGTCCTAGACCCAAATTTCCCTGGTTTAGGTTTGGCTTTGTCCAAACACGCGCAAAATCCTTGCAGCACATCTGCTTTCCACCCACCGACCCCTTCTCGGTGGGCTGCACTGGTACCCCAACCCTGTGGCTTGATGTTCCCCTTCTTTGTTTTTACTCAGAGCTGGATGGTGTGACAGGTCCACAGCCTGGATGTGGTGACATCCCGTGCCACCCCCTCAGCAGCGCCTGGGGACAGGGTAGAGCCGCTCTCTGCACCCACCCGGGACGGCAGTACTCACGAGGATGCTGAAAACCCGAGTCCTGGTTTTTCCAGCTACAGTTCAGCTGTTGGGAGCAGGGACCGAAGCTGCTCTCTGGGCTGTACCGGACAAAGGCAGCGAAGAGGATGATGGTGAGGATTTGGAGGAAGAAGCACAGCCCGGAGAGCCGGAGCCTGGAGGCGATGGTGTCCTCAGGCATGTCGCGGGGTAGCCAGGGTAGGCAAACCCCCCCCCCCCGAAACCGGGGAGACACGAGGAGAGACACGCTGGGGCTGCAAACTCCGCCTGCCGGGGTGGCTGCCAGGTCCTGCCCTCGCCGCGGTGCTTCCCGCGGGCGGAAGAGCCGGCCGGGAGCAGGACGGAGCTGCCAACACGGAAACCCCGGGCTGGCCGCCCCGGCACGCCTTGGCATCTGGTTTTTGTCACATCAGGTGGCTCGGGCCACTGTGCTGGTGAAGCACGTGGGGCTTTTGGTGTCGGCGTCCGTCTCGGGTTGGGTGCCAGAGGGTCAGGGAGGGATGTGGGGGGAGCTGTGGCTGGGGGAGCCCCCCGAGGTTTCAGCCTTTCTGGAGGTTTGGCATGGGAGAAACGTGATGGTTTGGGGAGATCAGGTCAGATGGAGGATGATGGAGGGTGGTGCAGCGAGCGTGGTGGGGCTGACCTGGTGGGATCTGGCAAGCTCAGCAAAGCCAGGTTTAAACTACCCGGTCAGTAGGAAAAATGATGGATCAGGGGGACTTCGGTGAAGAATCATAGAATCCCAGACCGGCGGGAGTCGGCAGGGCCCTCTGGAGCTCCTCTCCTCCACCCCCCGCCGGAGCGGGGTCACCCAGAGCAGTCGCACAGGACGGCGTCCAGGCGGGGTTTGAATCTCTCCGGAGAAGGAGACTCCACCGCCTCTCTGGGCAGCCTGTGCCCGCGCTCCGCCACCCTCACGGGAAAGCTGT